CGGGATGGGGTCCAGGAGACCTGTTGATGATTTAGATGAAGCAATTGTTGAGGTCAACTCAGAGAGATCTATAGGGGAGAAGTAGTCCAAGTATAAATGAGGTCTTACAGATGTTTCTAAAGCCATTGTAGTAGATGGCACATCTGCGAGAGCTGTGGGAGTGGTCCGACCAATTTTTTCTCTAATAGTTGTGATTTTATTTGTAAAGAAGCTCATGAAGTCATTGCTGCTGAGATCTAAGGGAATGTTAAGCTCAACAGCACTGTGGCTCTTTGTCAGCCTGGCTACAGTGCTGAAAAGAAACCTGGGGTTGTTCTTATTTTCCTCAATCAGTGATGAATAAAATGTGGTTCTGGCACTATGAAGGGCTTTCTTATATGTTATTAAACTATCTTTCCAGGCTATGAAAAACTCTTCTGACTTAGTGGAGCGCCACCTCCTTTCCATTTTTCGTGATGCCTGCTTTAGGGAGCGGAGCTGCGAGCTGTACCACGGGGCTAGCCTCCTCTGTTTCACTACCTTCTTTTTCAGAGGGGCAATGGTATCAAGTGTATTACGCAGGAAGGCTGCAGTACTATCAACAAGATTATCGATTTGTGTGGGAGTAAGGTTAAGGTGGCCTCCTTCCACTGTGTTGGCAAACGGCACTGAAGTAGATAAAGATGGAATTATTTCCTTAAACTTGGTAACAGCATTGCCAGATGGACATCTGCTGTAGTGGAATTGTTTCCCACATAGAGTATAATCCATTAATGGAAATTCAAAAGTTATTAGAAAATGGTCAGACAGAAGAGGGTTATGGGGAAAAACTATTAAGTGTTCAGTTTTGATGCCATATGTCAGAACCAGATCAAGAGTGTGATTAAAACAGTGAGTGGGTTTATTTAGTTTGAGAGAAGCCAACTGAGTCTAATAATGAACAGAATGCATTGTTGAGGCTGTCATTGTCGGCATCTACATGAATATTAAAGTCGCCTACTATGATTATTTTATCTGTACTAAGCACTAAATCAGACAGAAAGTCTGAGAATTCACTTAAAAACTCTGAATAAGGAGCAGGTGGACGGTATACAATAACAAACAGAACAGGCTTTTGAGTTTTCCAGTTTGGGTGTGAGAGACTCAGGGTGAGACTTTCAAATGAGTTATAACTATGTTTAGGTCTAGGGTTGATTAATAGGCTTGAGTCAAAGATCACTGCCACGCCACCACCTCGGCCTGTGTTTCGAGGGATGTGACCGTTACTGTGACTAGGTGGCTTTTTGCTGTTTTCATTTCCTGGAGCTTTATTTCAAATTTGATTTTAACACTTTTGACGTATTACCTAAGGAACATTTTGAATGTTTTACATGTCACTGAGTAGCCTGCTGTCTTTACACTTTGGTATTTCTACTTTTACATCCGAGTCCTTCTTCCACCACCAAAATTCAATAATTCGTTTTTTATATGGCCTATGAATAGATTTTGTAATATCATCTTTAAAAGTGGGTCTATTGCAGTTATTCGTGACAGAATAACATGAGCCATTTAGTAATTACGTTGAATTAATGCTATTAATTTTCACCTCATGTGATGGGTAATAATAGGCCAACACCCTGAAAGTGAGCGAGCCTTCCTGGCAGGGGCTCTGGCTGCTCTGCTATTGGCTCATCAGCATCGGAAGTCCGCATGTCGACGAACTACAGACAGAGACCAGAGAGCGACGCACAATTACGCGCGCAGCCTCAGAGATACCGTTCACACTGGAGCCTTAATGATAAGTAGGACGCACTGAAGGGGTTGTTTTACTATGTATCTATTCCAAATCCGATTCAAGCTGTAGTCTCGTCGTTCACGTGTTGTAAAGCATCGTTGCTGCACTAGTAACCGAATGAGGAAAACGCTCCGTGTTGCGTTTCCTTCCTCATCTGTCGACTCAGCAGCGGAGGAAAGAAGATAAAGGGACAAACGAGCATCATGGTTGCCGGTGAGCTTGTGCAGGAGCATCTGCGCGCAGATATCGGCGCACCTGACGACATCACGGTCGGCAGGAAGGGTCCGCAGCTGGACGGAGCAGCCGAGCGATACGGGAAACCGTCATACGGAGTGGCGCCTGCGGGCGGGGTTGGGGAGACAGACTCCGACCTGGAGCAGGAGAAGGAGCTGCCGCCGGATGAAAGAGAGGCGATGCTGCCTAACGGAGGAGGAGGGGAGGCGGATGAGGAGGGAGGGAAGGCGCTAGAGACGAGACTGTACTGGCGCCGCTTCGCCGTGCTGACCGTGTTCAGCCTGTACTCCCTGGTGAACGCCTTCCAGTGGATCCAGTACAGCATCATCACCAACGTGTTCACCCAGTACTATGAGGTGACCAGTGACAAGGTGGACTGGCTTTCCATCGTCTACATGGTCGTCTACGTGCCGCTGATCTTCCCGGCTACTTGGCTGCTGGACCGGAAAGGTCTGCGGCTCACAGCCCTGCTGGGCTCCGGCCTCAACTGCATCGGTGCGTGGCTCAAGTGCGCCAGCGTCGGCCGCGAGCTGTTCGGAGTCACCTTCACCGCGCAGGTCATCTGCTCCGTGGCGCAGGTGTTCATCCTCGGCCTGCCGTCCCGCATCGCCTCGGTGTGGTTCGGACCCCGGGAGGTTTCCACCGCTTGCGCCACGGCCGTGCTCGGAAACCAGGTCAGCATGTGCACGAGCCACAGACCTAAGATCTGTTTTGTATTGTGGTTAGTGTGAGTACGTACTGTAGCCGACTGAACAGAGTAGATGAGGAAGGAGGAGGAAAAGAGCCAATAGAATAGAATGATGTAGATATGTAGTTCAACAGTACATTGACTTTAAAGAGCAATGTAATTCAATAAAATATACTTTGAGCCCAATAGAATAGGAATGCTTCATTACTGAGTACAAGGATGGTATCACTCATTTTAAATGTGTAACATGACAACAGACACAATCAAACGGTGTTATTAAACTTTAATATCTCTCCATATGTCTATGTCGCCTGCTCCTAGTTGGGAACAGCCATAGGCTTCCTCTTGCCCCCAGTGTTGGTTCCCAACACACCCAACGATGTTCAACTTACAGGGCGCAACATCAGCATCATGTTCTACGGTACTGCAGCTGTGTCCACTGGCCTCTTCATCCTCACGGTCATAGGTACACACCACAGACACACACTCAAACACTGCCTGGCCTCATGGGAAGTACAGATAGGCAACAGGTTAAGGGAAAAACCTGAGTAAATGAGTGGAGAAACAAAGGACACAAGGGGTCACTGACTGGTCTGAAGAGGATGACCATGATGTGAACCAGACGCTGTGGCCTTCCCAGTCACCAGGTCTCAGCCCAGTTGAACAGCTACGGGAGATGTTGGAGCGACGTGTTAGACAGCGTCTCCGCCACCATCTGGAAGAACAGTGTTCATCCCTCCAGGAGAGTTCAGAGACTTGGAGAGTCAGTGCCAAGGTGGAGTTGTTCTGGTGGCACGTGGCGGCCCAGCTCCTCACTGAGATGCTTTATGTCGGGTTGTCCTTTCACTTTTCACCCGTCATTTTAATGTCCAGTTGGGGATCTGGATTTGACTTTAAAATTAAAATTAGAATAGGATTAGCCTTTGGTCAAGGAAAGACCTGTGGTTAAGGGTTAGGGCTTTCTCAACTTTGTAGGTTTTGGGGTTAGTGGTGGGAGAAGACAGTGACACAGTCATGCATTTACATTTTAGACCTGCAGGCAGCGTGTGATGGGCATGTTGACCCACGCTTTACTGCTTCTGTTTCCTGCAGTCATTAAAGACCGCCCTCCCCGGCCTCCCAGCCAGGCCCAGGCCGTCCTGCCAGACTCCCCTCCTGAAGATTACTCCTACAAACAGTCCATCCTCAACCTGATGAAGAATAAAGCCTTTGTCCTCCTGCTCATCAGTTACGGTACAAGTATAAACATTTATAGGACATTTTTAAACCATTTTCCACCCCACAGGGTAATTTTAGTAACAGTAAAAGACACTTCATCTTGCAGATTACCATCAGTACAAGAAACGGTAAAAAGCAGTGATTGACAATTTTCATGGAAAGATCCTGGAATAAAACAGTTGGGAAAATGGTTGTTTAGTGAAGAAAGTTTCCTTTTCTTCCTACTTTTTGTTTAGGGTGAGAAATAATGTAGTGACTGCTACTGTCACTGCACTGCAAGGACTGGTACTGCTTGTGCTTTCCCCACATATGCTATATCTACAGTATATTACGTGTATATCTGTATGACTGGTAATGAGCGTGAGCCTTCCAAAATGGCACATTTACCCAAAATTCAACATGACACGACGACAACTTCACATTCTCCATACTGCAGATATTACTGTCCTTAACGGATATTGGACTTCTTACTCTGTTTCCATTAGTAAAACTGACTTTCTGCCTGTCTGCAGGTATAATGACTGGTTCCTTCTACTCTGTCTCAACACTTCTCAACCAGATGATCTTGGCCTACTATGAGGTAAAGCACAAAGAGCTGAGACTTCATGAGTGAATGAGAAGAAACTCTTTCATCTCATGAGCCTTCGTTTCCTCACTGCTGACTTGTTCACCTGTTTTTTTTTTTTGTCAACACAAATGTAGCGACAATAACAATGGTGGCACTAACTGTTCCACCTTAGCTAAACTTAAACCTTGTAATATTAAGACACTTTTTGTAAATGAGTTGTGTCCATTCGAGTTTAAAATGTACACAGAAGCAGGGGGATGGACACTGAATGGAGAACGAGGAAGAGAGATAATGAGAGAAAAGCTTTGGTGAGACATGGGTGGATTGTCCGTGGCACTGAGTTCATTAGCTGCTTTCACGCATGCTTGCTGCCCACCATGACACTGCCAGCACACACAGATACACAAATGTGCACGAGAAGCCAAACCCCTAGAGAAAGACTCCCACCAGAAACGGTGTAAACCCCAGCTAATCCATACATACCTGTGAGGGGAAACCGGTGTTTCTGCTGAGAATTCGATGAGCTAAAAGGAGCACAAAAGCCATTTAGTCAGCGCTTTGTTTCCTCCTTTCCTCTCCTCAGAATCAGGAGTTGAATGCTGGGAGAATTGGTTTGACGCTGGTGGTGGCTGGGATGGTTGGCTCCATCCTCTGTGGCGTGTGGCTGGACTACACCAAGATGTACAAGTAGGCAACACACACACTTCTCCAAACGGTTAAAATCTAGGCTAATTTCTTCATACACTCACATTATGTTGTTAATCTAATAATCTTTCTTGTGCGTAGTAAGACAACACTTTGTATTGCCTTGTTACTATAGACCTCATAATGCAGTAATGCCTTCTGTGATCAGTCACTGGCCCCAAAGTCTGGCTACCTCACTGCATGGCTATAAGTATAAGGCCGCTTTGAGATTACACTCGTGTGTACTTACTGATTACGTCAGTTGCCGTGTAGTGTTTCTGAGTCACAAAACAAATCCTCCACCTGGGAGGGTGGCTGCAGTATAATGAGCTTGGAGGAAGCAAAGAGAAATTCAACCCTGATGCCACCCAAACCTGTCCGGCTGGCCCACATTAGGTTCAGTTTCTGCTGGCAAAGAGGTTTTGTCAGTAAAAACAGAGGAAGAGGAGGTCAGTTTGCCTTCAGGGGATAATGACGCAAGTATTTTCTCTAACTGATGAATGAACGATTGTCACTGAACATAAATAAATGACTCAGTAGCTTGTTGTGTTTGTGCTGCTGTTTCCCAGGATGACGACTCTGATCGTGTACAGCCTGTCTTTTCTGGGCATGGCGGTCTTCACCCTCACTCTGGACCTCAGCAGCATCTACTTGGTCTTTTTCACTGCTGGAGCTCTTGGGTATGTTATGTCTGTAGACTGCAGCAGTATACAGGATATATACACAGAGCTGTGTGCAGCAGCTAAGCAAGGATGTACAGGATTTTACCTGTTCTGGATCTGACAGGTCTGTTTACATTAGAGGCTGTAATCTCATGTTTAAGCAGAGCAGACAGATTATTTGATTTATTGAGTCTCTACATTGTCATTTGTTAATGCGATGTCTCGGTCTCAGGTTCTTCATGACCGGTTACTTGCCTCTGGGCTTTGAGTTTGGAGTGGAGATCACCTACCCAGAGTCTGAAGGAACATCATCAGGACTCCTCAATGCTTTCGCTCAGGTATGATCCTCACAGTAAGTGAATTGCTGATGGGAAAGGCTGTCCGAGGAGCAGCCTCTGCTTTGCATTTTCAGTTGAGAGAAACTTAATTAAGAGAATGTGCTGCTTGTTTTAGAGCTCAAAAAATGAGGTTGCTGTTTTTGGAGCTAAAGCCTATGGAGCTTGTAGCAGATGGTAGAAGGAGTGAAAACCTTCTGAAGTGATACTACTGGTAATTTGGGTGATAATTAGATTTTTTTTTTTTACAAGTACTACAGCTCTGTAATGTGTGTGTGTGTGTGTATGTGCACAGATATTTGGGATCATTTTCACTCTGATTCAGGGCAAACTGACCACAGTTTATAAACCACTGGCTGGAAACCTCTTCCTCTGTGCTTGGATCTTTCTTGGAACACTGCTCACTGGTAGGCTGTCCGTGCGGCTGTGTGTGTGTGTTCATTTGTACACATCTAAACAAATACTAGAACTGTCATATGTGTTCATGTTTGTTTCAGCCTTAATCAAGTCAGAACTGAAAAGACACAATGTCAACCTGGGAGCAGACAGCAACCACCTGCAAGCTGTAAGTGTTTAAAAATGACACACAAACACACCCTGTGGGGAATGTCTGCCGCTTTGTTCCCAGAATGCACCAGGACGTTTACAGTTAATTTAATCCTTTAGCTACTTTGCACAACAGTAATTACACTTTTCATTTTCACACCTCAGTCTGCTCTGATGTTCATGTATGAACCGTCACCACCAGAAACAACTGATTGTTATTTATTAGAATCATAGGGGCATGGGCGACTTGGCAAGCTGCACAAAATCTGTTTATTAATTGGATCCAGGAGCTTCATATGTCAAAATGATCTGGCATCAGTGAATTGAATAAAGATGTTCTTTGGTTTTAGTCTTTTTTTGTTTTTTCTACCGGCTGGATGCTGGTGTTCGTAGAACAAATGAAGCCCATTAGAAAGTATATGAAATATACCCAGAATTGTTCATTTTCCCTACTTGGCTCTACCATTTTCTTTTCCTTTATGTCCCCTTTTCATTTTCGTGTAGACTGCCCTTTAGAGAGGACAGAAGCGTCCCTACTGTGTTCAGTACTTTCCTCCCACTAGTGTCCCATCAAGTGACCAAGAAAGATTCTTGAACCTTTTCCCACTTTCCCTGAACAGAATCTCCTTTTTCTCTCTGCATTGGCTCCATATAAATTGTCCTTCTGACAGAAAAAGCTATAAAATCTGACCTTTCCACCAGCTAATTATCTGTAGTGATTTCTGATGGTGTCCTGCAAAGCACCTTCAGACAAGCCAGGATATTAATTCTCTCTCAGGGCTCCTCAATCAGTCTAGATTCTTCCCAATCCTGCTGCGTCACGGCTGAAGTGCCCTTCACAGCCTTTCTCTTCCTCCTTAGCTCAGAGGTTTCCAAGTTAAGCTTCAGCTTTCCTAAGACATCACACAAGCAGTTTTGAGGTTAGCAAGATGAATTAAGGAAGTTTTTCCTTCTGGAAATAAATCAAATGAAATAACTGTAGGTTATTTAACCTAAAGTTTACGCTGTTCTGCAAGGATCTGTATCATGTAACAGGCTCACTTCTTGAAACCACAGTGTCCAATTTTAATTTTTACTTTGGCGGCATAGGGAATGCAAAGTTGCCGTCATGCCGTGTTGAATTGTGGGTAAATGCACCATTTTGGAAAATCACCCCTTTTATACATCATAGATACACACATCACATGCATCTATAAGTTAATTTTAAAAAAAGTACCATCCCATATGGCTACATGCAGTAGCAGATGTTTCAGCTACATCCAAATAGCCACTTCAGTGTTTAGTTTCAGCACAGGCAGGACAGAAATGGATTCATCTGCAGTGTTTGTGCTATCTGCTGACAGCTACTAGCTAGTGTTAGCTCCTGAACCAGGAGCTAAGAGTTGCTGCGATCAGGGTGCAGAGTCATTTTGCAGTTGTCGCTCTTGTAGACAGGATCTCTAGGTCTGCTACAATTTGTTAGCTAGGGTTAAACAATTTAAACAACATTTTAGCCAAAAAACCAAGAATGTATGCAGGTAAATACAGGGCATATCTCCCAAAATGGCACCCCTGTCCCAACATTCAACGCAGTGTGATGATCCTTCACATTCCCTGTTAGTGACTGTGGTACAGAGATGCTACATTAGAAGCAGCGTAGACGAATGGAAAGACAGCAGCACAAGGCTGCAGTAATTTTCACCAGGCTTGATTCATCAGGATAATCTTAAAGATGCTGTAATCACAAGTCAGCTGCATTTGTTTTTCAGGATAATCTTAAAGATGCTGTAATCGCAAGTCAGCTGCATTTGTTTTCTGAGTGCGCAATTTGTCCTACATTTACAGTAATCACTGTGAAATGGCTGTGAGAGCTGTTGAACACATATGAACATTACAATCTGCAAGCTCACCACTAGATGTCACTGGATCTCACACACTGCACCTTTAAGTTGACTTGGTGCGTAACAGATTTCTGTTCCTGTGGACTGATTCCAGCAGACACGAAGCAACATTAGAAATTGTTTGGAGTCATATTTTGAATGTCAACAAATGTAAATCTAATACTCACTTTACTTCGACTGTTTATTGTCTCTACCAACTCCTGAGGGAGATATCTGGAGTGTTTTGATCTGGAACCCACCCATTGAGTGTGCTGTGTTTAGATAATAACACGACCTGCCACGTCTCTCAGCTCCCACAGCTTCTTCGGAACTAAAACCATGTGAACTACCCAGTCTGTTTCTCACCTCAGGTTTACTTAGCAAGGTTTTTTTTTGGTGGATAGGGTGGAGAGGCTTTCAGAACATGAAAATTAGAAACAAAATACCAGTAACATCCCTGCAGGAGGTGAATTTGTCAAATTAGGTTGATATTATTAATTAGCACCTCGCTAGTTCCATCAGAGCAGGAACCACTCAGTGTTGATGTCTGATTCATTTCATATGCTTCTAAAGCACATTGAGCGCTTGGGTTGGTGTTGCTGATTGCTCTAAATATATGTTTCTTACTCTCTCCTAGCTTCCTGTGGAGCATCCTGTGGACTGCCCTTCAAAGGAGAAAACCAACGGGGTCGAGCTGAAGCCGTCAATCTCCCGTGAAACCTCTGTATGACTTTTCCAAGTCAGTGAATTGCAGCACAACTGAGAAGGTCTCTGTGTTGCCCTGGGATATGTGTTGGCACTGCACTCCATGTGACGTGCCTAAAGGTACACGAGTTTATTGCCAAGCATAAGTCATTGATAATTAGGAAGGTGGATTTGAGCCAAGTCACATCAACTATGGCCACAGTGGACTCAGGCCTGGAGGGTGACCGACATGGTACAGAGGGCGCTGGTTAAATATCCACCCACTGCTCCTCTGCAGAAAGATCCAGGTCACATGTGCACCCAGACACTTACAGAGAATTACCACCACTTTACAGAACTTCATGTTTCCTCCTGGAAAGCTTGTTGTTGGCTGGTAAAGTATGTAAAGCACTGACTTGTAGATGAAGCTTCACTGCACTTCATTTGTATAGTGGCTGCAGCCTGGCAACCTTGGTTTAGTTACTGTATGTAAATCTGGTTTCAAAGAAAAAGGTGGTAAAGCAAGCTTTTAATTCTTGAATCACAAAGTTTACTGGAGGTGAAACAAAATATCCCAGAGCCGGGCCCTGAACCACAAAGCGAAATTCGTGGTTGATCCAGCTACCTTTTGGCTCACCCCAGGTTGTCCAGTACCACGAAGCTGTCTCACTTTTAACCAGGCTAGATCCCCATGGTAACTTGTGCTGCACGGCTGACCTGGAGCAGCTTAACTTCAGATGACTGGATCAGAACCTGTCAACACTCTGAGCACTAACCAATCAGATCACCTGACCTACTGGATCCTGACAGAGTCACAGTCTACATTAATGTTTGATTTGATTTGATTTATTCTTTCAAGCATATAAAACAGTTGATATATCAACACACATTTTTACACACAATCCAATATCAATTTGCTTATACCTAGTACATGCTTGAATGGAGTAGGAAGAAGTCAGACTTATCCAGTCTTACCCCATGACATCATCTTACATCATTGGTTTGTGATAAGTATTAAACCGATATTTCTACAGAGCAGTCATATCATCGTGCTGTTTCAGACTTTCTGGATTTCTAACACACTGAGGGAGTCTGCAGCCTTCATGATGATCAACAACAAAAGCACAAAGATTATTTGATTACGGACTGAATTCCTGACTGTCAGTGTTTTTACAAGCTCCATCACTGCAGCTCAGAATAACATGAGGGGACTAAGTGATAATGGCCTTTTATTAGAACAATAATCCATACTCTGCTAAATATTGATGATGATTATAAATGAGCCTCTGACTTGAGGCATAAATCCCCCACCCCCAGCCCCCTGTCTTCTCCTTTGCGCCCTGGCAGCACAAACTGTTTGATTTTTTGACAGCAGTTTCTTTGTCATCAGACAACGGAGGAAAAACTGCTTCACTCATGGTGCTGTTGCTCTCACTTATAATTAACTCTCTCGGTCACACATGTGTGTTCGTAGCCTGATGGGAAACCCCAGATTCAACAGAGCCAGTTGCTAACCTGCTTCGTGGTACCAGTTATCCAGGACAGCCAATGTTACGCACAGTGAAGCTAGATAACCCCAGGAGAGCCAGAATAAGTAGAATTTGCTTTGTGACACAGGGCTCTGTTCTTTTTGCTTTTTGTACCCAAAGGGGCAGCATTTCCTGAGTTTACTTGAATTATCCTTTGATGATCTGGACTGCAGTTGTAAAGCACACTGTCAATTTAGTTATTTGTGCATTTGGTTTCCTCTTGACAAACAACAGGGGTTATGTCGAGTGAACTGTGCTATTTGCTCTGAAATCTGTTTTGAAGGTGCTTTGGATTTGGAAAGGTGACGTAAATCGTGTTTGTGTTGCTTCTACCAGGTCACATGCATTTCAGACAGGCAGCCCATTATTTTGAATGGGTTGCTTTATTCCGCTTTCCCACTAAAAGGCCTTTAACTGGCCTCTGACGAGATTCCAATTGCCGATCGACCCGGCTCGACTCTCCAGCAGGTGAGGTTGTTTCCCCTCTGGTACGTCACATTTGACATCATGACATTGGTGATGTCAAATACGCGCGCCGGTAAACGGAGTCGTAAACAAAGCAGCATGGAAGCGAGTGAGACGGTCTGTGCTGTTTCGTCATATTTACTTTTGTTCATCTTCAAAGTATAGAAACTCTGTGTAGACTGAACCATGTTAGAGAGTTGATTGAACGAAGACGGATGGAGTTTATGGCTGCTATGGCAAAGAATCACAGAAATGATCAACTGAGGAGACAGGCCTTCATTACCTCCTTGTTGGCAATTGCTGAACTGATGACGTGCCAAGGCAAAGCGGATAACGACCCACATCAACTGCAGAGTCATTTGTCCCACTGCCATCAAAAGCCGAGGTGTCTTACATGGGTTTTTTTGGGCAGTGGTAAAACCTATAAGGTCTAAACAAAATTGCATGAAAGGTCTGAAATCAATCCCAGGTTTTTATCAGTTTTCCTTTTTACATTCCCTTTCCTCCCCAGAGAGGGCAGCTACTTTGCTGGTCTGACATCAATGTAATTATAATAGTAAATAGTAATTGTTGAAGCTCTTGGGTTTTTTTTTTTATCCAAGGTCCTGTTTTTAAATTTATTTTGTCCATCACGATTTTTTCTGAAGTTCAAATCTTACTGTGAAATAGTTTCAGACTTGATCGTGACAGTACCTTAATTTGGCTTTGTCTAATAGGCTTAAAGACATTGATGACACTAGAGAAACAACTATCTGCTGTAGTAAAACTGGTCATCTTCTGTATGTGATATACTGTACTGTACTGTGTCTCTAGTCCACACTGCTTGTTTAGTTACTACAGCTAAAGACCCACAAGATGGCGCTGTTCTTCCACCATGGCTCCATGTTTCACAGGCAGCAGCTCCAATTAGCACTGGCACAGATTCTGAAGCATGTTGTAGATTTAAACTCTACTTTTTAAGTTTTTACAAATTATATTTTAATTTTTTTAAACCCATGGTGGAAAGTAACTAAGTGCATTTACTCAGGTACTGTACTTAAATACAGTTTTGAGGTAACTACCTCACTTTACTTGAGTATTAGCAGTTTGACTACACTGTAGTTAAGGGGCAAATATAGTTTTTACCCCACTACAAAACTATAGCAAATATTTTGGCTTTTATTTTATTTTCTACCCTTTACGTTTGTTTCTTAATGGACCTGTAACATGGTAGAACGTTAAATCTTCTGTTTTGATTCTTTTTGGTTGAAAATATTTATTTGGTTCCTTTGTGTGTAAAAATGTAGGGATGTTTGTAGTATTCTTCTGGTTTCTTATTCTTGGCAAATGAAGATTTAACTGTTTTTTTTTTTATATAAACCTTTATACAGCACTGATGTCTTGGTTGTAAAATGTTTAGTTAGACTGTTTAGCAGATAGCACTGAGGAAAATGATGAAAGGGTTAATTACATATGGTTCTCTGGTCTGAAAAGAACTGACAATTCAACTGGTTTAAACCAAACATGCATTTGTAAATGTCTGTTCAGTTTCATGTTCGGTCGACCTGCATCCTGTTTTCTGACTTTCTCTACATGAGCAAAATAGATTTTACAAGTGAAATACTGTGTTGCACTATTGAGACTGCTGCTGAAACCATTCGTGTATTAAACCCGTTCAGTCTGTTGATATGCGCTCTCCACTCCTGCTTCTACTGTGTCCAGATCTTTCATTCAGAGTTTGTTAGTTTCTGGGGTGCTCAGTGTGTTCATGTTTGTGGACAGAGGAGAGCTTGTAGTTCGAAGTGCGACTGTTACAGACAGGTGACAAATGGCAGGAAAACCCAACACAAAGCCACCAGAACAGCTCCAGTGCACCTCGGGCACTGACTCTCTAAGTCTCTGTGTGGTGTATTATGATGGCGGAGTTGCCGTCTAACACTTGAATTAAAAACTCACAAATCTGCTTCTCACATACAAGGACATCAGACACTGATTCAAGAGAGTTTGATATAAGGTAACTTGTGTAGTCTCTGCCAAATTGTTGAAAATGTCTTCCTCTGCCACCGTCCAGTTCTCTTGAGAGCAAGCGAAAGTTACTGGGGTTGTCCACAACATGAACCAGAGGATTTCTGCAGAACTAAAATCACAGAAGACTGCAACATTTCCATTACTCTGTACTGTGAGAAACAGAAATAAAAGTTAATTCTATGTCAGTGGAAAAACCATTCATGTGGTGTAAACCAATTAACTAATATGTTTTGTATTTTGAGGCTAAGCATCTTGATATTTTAAAATACAAACTTTTTACCAGAGAAGAATACTGCACAGCATGTTTGTTGAATCATTTTTACTCAGAAGACCCACCACAGTGCACACATGCAGTGCCTATAGCATACATAATGGTAAAAGCACACACAGACAGTAGGTTAGTCCAGCAGATATGACTGGACATTTCCTAGAAAGAGACATGAAATTTTGTTTCTTCCCTATGATGTCAACCACATTGACAGTGGGCATCAATAGAGAAGTCACCTTTCACCACTACAGGCCTGGACATGATCTCAGAACACCAATTACTCTATATACAGTAGATTTGTACTCAGCGCTCACTGGTGGCCAGAAGCTGTACTGCAGTAATACTGTTAATAACCCTTCTTCCCTGCTCTGTAGAATTAATGAGGTGCTCCATTAAAAGGCGTTATTGCATCACATATTTGAGAAACACTACTGCACATGATGGGTATGAACAGTGTGCACACCTTGTAAATCACTGTGTGGTTTGCACAGTACAGCAGAATGTGGTGTAACACTATGAATTTGAAATTAGTTGCATGCACAGTATCTGAGTTGCTTAGTCATATGAAATTACTGGAGGATCATGTCTCAAATTACAGTGAACTCAGGTCACCTCTCCTCCTCACAAACAGGAGACAGCGCACAGTTTGTGGGGTAAAGGGTTGAGACTGAGGCCAACACGTGGGGTCAGATCCAGTTCATCCTCTGAAACTCCCGGCGGGGGAGTGAAACGGAAGTGCTGCAGGAGGGTGGTGAAGAAGATGAAGAGCTCCATCCTGGCCAGACTCTCTCCAAGACAAATCCTGTGACCTGCAAGAGACGACAAAGGAAACACTTCAGCTAATGCTTGTATACAAACAATAACTAGAAGCAACACTTGTTCACACAAACCTGCAGAAAAAGGCATGAAGGCATCTCGCTTGACAAACTTCCCGTCTTTGTCCAGGAAGTGGGCAGGATAGAAGGAGTGTGGTCTCTCCCACTCGGTTTCATCATACAGGACAGATGTCAGGAGAGGATACACTGTGGTCCCCTGTGCAGAAATACACACAAAATCTTTTTTATAATGCAGGAAAATAACATTCTTTCAATGTAAATAAAAACCTTTCCAGGATCCCAGCAACACTGTACTCATCTCACATGTTGTTTCTGAACATGAAACTATTGTCTTTTAAAAAGTATCAAGTATAAATGAATGAAATTAACTGTCACATGAGCTAAGCAATTGTCAATAAAATTAATATTCAAGGAAAAACATGCCACCAGTGGTGGGTAAAAGGATCAAATATATAATTAGAAAACATCTTTTTTATTATTTAACATATTTCTTACTCAGTGAAAACATGTCTTTACAATTCCTTTGGCATGTTGAAGCTGAAAGATATTAAGTCTTTTGTGTGTCAGCAGTAGTTAGTGAGGCAGTGAGCTGGACAGATGCTCAGGGATCATTATTAACCAGAGTTTAAATATGAACAGCAACTTGTTCAAAAGAGTCCAAGGCTGAGCCAGGACAGACATTTTATCCTTGTTAAGATTTATCTACAGTCGATCAATTTCCTGCTTGCATAGTGTTTGCAAGAAACTAGTGCCAAGGAAATGTTTAAAAATAAAGTACAGCTCTTTAGGTATTTTTGTGGTGACTTCCCTCTTTCTGAGGTCACTTACATTTCTGGAGAATAGTTGTTAATTCACATTTCTTTTCCACTCATGTAATTTAGAATCCAGTGCTGTTTTTACACAGTTTCTTCAAAGATCGTTGACTTTTCCATGAAAACCTGCAGCATGTTGCTTCAGCTAAACATTCCACTACTATTTGCATGGTCCTGCCTTACATACTTCTATATTGATGAGAGCAGCAGCTGGTAAACAAACCTGTTTAATAAATATGTGTATCTGGGGAAGGATAGTACAAACACATCAACACCTTAAAACATGGCACAAAAGTAAATCTGACTATGATTATTTGTAGAGAATCAACAACCAGAACCCCTATGTTTTTTAAATTTTTGACCCCTTTTAAGTTTTTTTTTTTATTTAAAACTAGTGTGTAACTTTTATCAAATATTCATGTTGTAGAAATCTGCTCTAAAATGTGTCTTAGTGTGAAGAGGCGCTGTCGAAGCCTCCTGTGACCCAGACTCTAAAAGGCTTTGAGCAGGATTGACAAATCAGAGATTATTTCTGCTTGATCAGTGAGTTTTGTTGGATTCTCATTTATTGTAATTTCATAACAACAAATATCTGAAGAGCTGGGCAGACTGTGGTGGAGCCGAGTGGAGCTGGGACTGGGAGTGCTGGGCAGAGCAGGTGGATTGGTTTGGAGTTTCAAGCTAGGCCTACCTTAAGTCAGGCCCGGCCCTAACCAATTTGGCGCCCTAGGCAAGATTTCAGGTGGCGCCCCGTTGCATCGCAGTAAATTCCACTGCTAGTGTATATACTCATAAGAAACGTAATAGCTTTGTCTTGGACATTCTTTTATTTAAATAAAGCAATTGCACATTCAAAATACTTAGAAAGAATTAAAGAAACAAATACAAAAAAATGAACTGAACATATGAAATACAATATAAATAGCTTACATAAAGTACCTATTAATACTCCCAAAATAAAAAGTGTAAACAAGTGACATTAACTTAAAAATACAATATAAATACGGCACTGTGCAAAATAAGATATTAAAGAAACGAGTAGGCACAAAAAAATACAAGGATTTAAATAAAAATAAAAAGATGATCTTACAAAGACCTCTAGTGGTGTTTTTGGTACTGCCGTAACTTAAAAACTACACCATCACCTCCTCAATCTCACATAACCTGCTACAGCTTTACTCTCCTGGTTTTTCTTGCAGCAAAGTCATCTACTGTCAGGTTTGGCGTGTACAGATGCCAAACAGAGGTTGTGGTGAACTCAACTAGAAAACCAGACGAACCGAGGTAGGGACAAGTTCTTTACTTGTTGTAAGCAAAACAACTAACACAAAGTCCAGGATATCAATCAGGTCGATAAGACAGTCCAGGGTCAGCGCCAGTAAACAGGTATTGCCAGGGGATCCAAACTCGAGGTTTCAAGGGGGACTAAATCAGAAGGTTGGTACACTGCAGGTGATCAGAATCTTGGAGGGCATAGGCAAAAACACGATGGTCAAAAACAGTAATCCAAGGTCAGAAACAGAGAGTCAGGCAAGGTATAAATGCTGGAGCGTCAGAGCTTGAGTCTAGAACAATCTGGCAGTGTCTTGGTGGGAGGACGCTGCCTAAATAGAAGTAACAACAGGTGCAAACAATAAGGAGCAGGTGAACTAATGATGATTAAATAAAAGGGCCAAAACTGAGGTGAAACAAAACAGGAAGTAATGTGAAAATAAAAGCATGACAGGAAGCAAGAGGGGCAGGAGCGTGACACA